ACTGCAGATTCATATTCAGCGACCCCAAAAACCCCCGAGTAACCAGTTTTGAGAAAAAATTGAGTTATAACAAAAATCGACCACCATTTTGGATCCGCCATTTTGAATTTTTAAAATCTGACTGCAGATTCATATTCAGCGACCTCAAAAACCCCCGAGTAACCAGTTTTGAGAAAAAATTGAGTTATAACAAAAATCGACCACCATTTTGGATCCGCCATTTTGAATTTTTAAAATCTGACTGCAGATTCATATTCAGCGACCCCAAAAACCCCCGAGTAACCAGTTTTGAGAAAAAATTGAGTTATAACAAAAATCGACCACCATTTTGGATCCGCCATTTTGAATTTTTAAAATCTGACTGCAGATTCATATTCAGCGACCCCAAAAACCCCCGAGTAACCAGTTTTGAGAAAAAATTGAGTTATAACAAAAATCGACCACCATTTTGGATCCGCCATTTTGAATTTTTAAAATCTGACTTCAGATTCGTATTCAGCGACCCCAAAAATGCTTAAAAGTGTATTTTTTGATTCAATTTAATTAATTTTGGAAATTTTATTCATGTTTGTATTTGTCGAATCGTAACATTGATGACTTATATCACATCTAGAGGCGCCGCCATATTGAATTTCTGAAATCGCCCAGCTGCTTTCGAAAGTACAAGAGTGTACAAGTTTTTTCAGACCTTAAACGATTTTTTTTATCAAGCCAATTTTTGGCTAGAGCTCTGTTCCGTTTGACGTGGAACGTCCCATATATATATAAGTGTTTTACTGATAAAATTATAAAATACAATTCACAATGTCTGACTAAATATTTACTTATACTACTGATAAAATTACAAAAGTGTACAAAATCAAACTGAAATATTGCCTTGTACTACTGACAAAAAATTCAATTATTTAGAGAGTCTGACGAAACATTTACTTTTACTACTGATTTTCTATTTTATTTATTTTTTGACTAAAACCACCTGTACTACTGATAAATATATGAAAATTTAGAAAACCTGACTAAATATTTACTTTTACTACTGATTTTCTAATTTTTTCATTGTTTGACTAAAACCACTTGTACTACTGATAAAAATATGAAAATTTAGAAAACCTTACTAAATATTACTTTTTACTACTGACTTTCTAATTTTATCATTGTCTGACTAAAATCACTTGTACTGATAAAAATAAAAATATTCAAAATTTCTAATTAAATATGCACTTGTACTATACTTAAAAAATGATAAAATCGCAGAAATTTAAACTAAATATTGTCTTATAGTATAAGACAAAAATTTACAAACGTTTAAAAAGTAGAATTTATATTTTTTATATCTTAAACTATACGGATAAGTTTTTTGGCGGGTTGTATTAATGTTTTGTCGGTGAACAAAAATTGGTATTGTAATCTGTTTAGTAGGATGATTTTCTTGTTTTCTGGTTTGCCTTGGCCCTGGGTTGCGCTTTATTACTTCTAAACAGGCTGACCGAGCGGTATATTACTCGGACGGTTCTAACGGGTCCTGATATATTGCTTGCGGGCCTGCCAACCCACTATCTCCCTCCCTCTCTCTCTCTCGCTCGCTCTCATTCTGCCCCCAATATCCAAAGCATGCATTGCAAGCTTCTGCGGGCGTAGCCACCACCGCTGCCGCGTCCCTTTTCCTTGCCGGCCAAAACTATTAATTTTGGTTTGCCTGGCCGTGTTCGGTGGATAATTCAATTTTGGGGCCGCAGTGCACGAAATTAGTGAATGATATCGGCGGTCGATGTCGCGGTCACCAGTCTCTCAACTCCACCAGTATTCTCTCCTTCTCTCTCTCTCTCTCTCTACAATCAATTTAATAAAGAAAAAAAGGAAAGGGGGGATTAAACCCTTTTTTTTTGCCTGAAAATTACTGTTCTTTAAACAAAATCAATATATACTTTCAGTGACGAACCATTTTTCGTGTATAAAAAATTGATTGCAAATATTATTTCTCCGAATTTTTTTCACTCTCTAAATTTGAATTAGTGAAAAATGAACTACTAAATCATATTAGTAAGAATTTTTTACTAATTTTTAGTAAAATATTACTATTAAGTAAATTTTAAGTAGTAGCCCAACCAAAAATTTCAGTATTATACCAGAGTTGACTACTGGCGCAGTACTGGTTCAGTATTTACTGCCGAGGCTGGGCAGTCTGTACTGAACCAGTACTGGTATTTTCACTGTATCAGTACTGATGCAGTACCACCCTCCCAGTACTGGCAAACCAGTACTGAGCCGATATTGAGCCAGTACTGGCTCAAATAGATTTTCTTTTTTATTATAATACTAGTTTACAAAAAGTTCTAGAGTGAACCCGATGAATCTTTTTGTTTAAATATTTTGTTTATCAAAATTTTTTCAACTTGATTTTATTTTTCAAAATTAAAATTTACTTTATTTTGCTTTTCTGTGGGTAAAATTATTTAAACAAAAAGTTTCCTGAGACTAAGTCTAAAACATTTTGCAAGATTTTCTTTTTGTTTTCAGATATATGCAATAAATCAAAAAAAAATTTAAACGATCAAACTAAAAATAAATAAATTTGTTTATAAAAAAAATTAAATACAATCGCAAGTAAAATTGCACAAATGTTATATTATCAATAATATAAAATACTTTGCCACTACTTTCCCATTACCACTTTCACTTCCACTTAAACTTTTTATAATTTTTATTCCCATTTCCACTTACACTTTTTCTAATTCTCATTCGCACTTCCATTCTCACTTCTACTCTTTCTAATTCTCATTCCCACTTCACTTCCACTTTTTCTAATTTTCATTCCCATTCCTATTTCCACTTCCAGTTTTTTATATTCATTGCCACTAACACTTTTTCTAATTCTCATTCACACTTTCACTTCCACTTTTTCCAATTTTCATTCCCATTTCATCTTCCACTTTTTAATTTTCATTACAACTTTTTTATATTTTCACTCCCACTTCCATTCCTAATTTTTTAAATTTTCATTATCACTTTCACTTTTTCTAATTTCCATCCATGATAATTAAAAAAAGTGGAAATGGTTGTGTAAATGGAAATTAGAAAGAGTTTTAGTCGAAATGGCAACAGCTAATGAAAATTAGAAGTGGAAAAAATGGGAATAGAAGTGGGAATGAAAATTAGAAAAAGAGAAGGGGGAATAAAAATTAGAAAAAGTGGAAGTGGTAATGAAAATAAAAAAGTGAAAGTGGAAGTGAAAATGGAAATGAGAATTAGAAAGAGTGGAAGTGGAAATGGAAGTGCGAATGAGAATTAGAAAAAGTGAAAGTGGAAACGGTAATGAAAATAAAAAAAGTGGAAGTGATAATAGAAATGAAAATTATAAAAAGTGCGGGTAAGAACATTAAATACTTCCTGGTGGTCGATTTTCGACAAGTTTCTGCTAAAATACAATTTAGAAATATTTTCTTAATTTTCTATAGGTACTAATGTTAGTAACATTAGTAACGTTAGTAATATTAGTAACGTTAGTAATGTTAATTTTTCTACCTGGGATAATTAACCTTTCTTAATAGAAATTATAAAAATGGTCAATAAAATTATTGTAATTTGTTTCTGGATGTTATTCTTCAGTTTTTTTCCAAAACTGAATTATAAACAAAAATTTTATGTTAATTTAAACATAATTTAGATAATTTTTTTAATAATTACCTAATTTCAGGAATTTAGTATTCATTATTTATTAAATCATTATATTTGTGATGAGTTAATTTGTAAACTAATTTTGTTTTATGTAAATTGAATTGAATTCAATGTTAATTTATTTATATTTGATATAATAATTAATAAATTAAAGTGAATAAAAAAATAATTAAATAGTTAATTTGCATAATTAATAATTATATACATTATAATTATTTTATAAACATTTTTATTTTTACTGAACCGTTTTTATATATTATAAAAACTTTGGTTTTATAATAAACATATTTTTATATTTGTTTTTTTAATTTTTTAAAATAATAATTTGCAATACATATTATAAGAAGGAATGAAAATTCTTGGTGTTTTCGATTTTATATAATAAAATATTAATTAGTTAGTTGACTAATTTAATTAATATTTAATTTGTCTTGGGTTACTAAAAATTTCACACACTTTTTCCTAAGTACACCAAAAAAGTATTACCTGGAGTGAAACTTATCTCTGTTAGTTAAAGCTTTCTTTTCGTATACAATAAATTACAAAACTGCCAGTACTCGGCCAGTACTGAACCAGTAGTGGTTACCAATACTGGTGCCAACTCTGGCGCCAATACTGGGTGCCAGTACTGCGCCAGTATTTGTCAGTACTGTGCCATTAGTAAATTTTTTGATTGGGACTAGTTGTAGTTTTAAATTTTTTTAAATTAATTAATATTCTTACTAATTTAAATTAGTAGCTCATTTTTCTCTAATGCAGATTTGTGTCGATAAAAAAAATATTAATTTTTGACTATTTTAAATTTCGTGTTTTTTTTTTTTTTTTTTGAAAAAATGAAAACTTGAAAATCCATACGAGAGCTTTATATAAAAAGAAAAAAGTCTCGAAATTATTTTTTAAATAACAACGTAATGCACACGGAAAAAATTTTCAAAAACAGCGATAATTTTCATTGAGACAGCGTTATATTTCACTAAAACAGGGAAAGTTTTCATTATTCTAGAAAAATATATCGCTGTTCCTGATAAACATTTGTTTCCGTATATTTACTTTCTTCCGCCTTGTTACAGTAAAAATAATATTTTTAGTTCTAACTAAATTATTATTATTATTATTATTATTATTATTATTATTATTATTATTGTAATTAAATGTATATATTTTATAATTAATATTATTATTATTACTATTAAATATTACCTATTGTGATACTATTTCCAAAATGGTGAAAATTACATAAATAATTGTAGCATTTGCATATCATGTATTAAATAATTATTGTAATACATATTCTCTTAACAGTCGTGAATTTTCTCTGTTTGTAGAACTTGGATTTAGTGTTGAGCATTTAAAGGAGATTACGCGAAAGATCGTCGAAATTTGCAAAGCTCCCGGAAGTTAGACCTGGATCATAGAATAATGCCCATCTACAGAGGTAAGTAGAAATAGCCATTAGATACTTCTCTACATCGTAGTTTGCTATATATATATATATATATATATATATGTATCTATGTATATGTATATTCAAAGTTGCTACAAGCTGCCCTAGAGTTTGTACACATAGACCAACCGCTATGCATTTCTATCGGCTACTTAACCCACCGGAAAGGGACTCATTCCGCTACGCCGTTATTTCCGGTTTAACAGGGCCAGAACACTGAAGTGTAGCATAAGAGCGCTGCTTTACAATCAGAGTTGAACTCGTAATACCAAAACCCTCCCCCCTCTCTCTCTTTCATTGCCCCTCATCACCCCCTAATCGATATCAAACTGCGTTTAAATGAAATTAGAAGTCAAGTTACAATCCAATTACTATTTGCATTAATGCACTAATTAATTTATTACTTTAGGTATTATATCATTCAAATATATAATTATTATTACTATTATTATAATTAAAATTAATATTATAAAAATAACAATAGTAATTATTATTATTTTTATTATATTAGAATTATGAATAAATTAAATTTTTTAAAACAATGTTAGATTGAATATATTGTTATTTTTACCTTCCGTTGTTTTTACCTTAGTTATTTTAATTATTTGTAATTGTTCTTTAATTGTTTTTTTACATTAAGAAAAATTTTTGTTTTACTTTGTTATTTTCTACAAAAAATTTTTTTAATTTGTTATTTTCTATACAATGTTTTTTTAATTTTTCTATTTTGTACATAAAACTTATTTTAATACAAAATTTTATATAAAACAAGTTTAAAAACAATTTTTATATTACAAAGTAACAAATTTTAAGAAAATATATATAATAAAAAAAAATTTTTTGCAAAAAAAAAAGCAAAATAAAAGTAACAAGTTTTCACTGTTCAGAATAAAAAACAAAAAAAAAAAAATTATGTAATAACTAGCGGAAATTTTTTTTTCAGAAAATAACAAAATAAAACAATCAAGTTTTCATTGTTTAGAATAAAAAACCAAAAAAAAATGTAACAAAAAAATATTTTTGCAGAAAATAATAAAGTAAAAGAAACAAGTATTTATTGTTCAGAATAAAGAACAAAAAAAATTTATGTAATTACTAAAACAAGAATTTTGGAATAGAAAATAACAAACTAAAAAAACAAGTTTTTATTGTTCAGAATAAAAAACAAAAAAATTTGTTTTAAGTAAAAAAAGTCATTAAAAATTATAAATAATAATTAAAATAATAAAAAGTAAAAACATCGAATGTGAATACAACATAATATTTATACGTTTAATCTACCATTTTTTCTTTTTAATTTTCTGCAATTTTAAAAACCGACAAAATTTATTATTTCAACAAAAATAATTACAGGACAATTGTTGTAATCGAAAAAAAAGTTCTTTTTCGGAGGGAAAAAATAGAAAATAAAAAAAAAACAAAGTAAATGAAACCGGACAAAATGCATTCATTCGGTAAAACTTGGCATTTAGAAGAAATAATGAGAAACTTTTATAAACGAAATTTTATGCCCTCAGTGGTAATAACAACTAATTGTACGTTATTATAGTTTCAGAGAGTACACACGTAACAAACGTTTATATATATATATATAAACGTGCCTTTGTATACATATATATGTTGTTACCCATGCCTGGTTGTTATAGTTTGCCGTCTGGATTAACAGTGCTTTATTATTTGCAGATTTTTTTTTTTCAAACCAGCTTCTCTTATTAATATAATCTGTTCTACTGGAAAATTTCCCTTTAACTATACGAGTTAATAATGAAAAAAAAAAAGAAAAAAAATTGTCAAGATTTTGACATTTTCTTGCAATTACAAATTAAAATTTGAATCTTTAAATTAATTTCTCGAAAAGAAATTAAAAAGTATATTTTAAAAGTTTGTAATTATTTACATAGAAAAAAAGAATTTATATCAAACTGCGAAAAATTACACTAAAATAGCAAAAATTTTAATTGCAATTTTTGTTATTTTATTTATTTTTTTGTTTCAGTTAAATCTTACTCTATTCGAGTAATATCTTTCGCTGTTTCAGATAAAATTTTTTTTTTGAAAAAAATATTTGAAAAAAATAAAATTAATTCTACTTTTGAAAATTGTTATTGCTAAATATTTTTTTAAAAAAGTATTTTGTTGAATAAAAATTTTCCGTGAATATATTTTTTTTTTGTCTGCATAAATGAAAGTTTAAAAAAAAAGACTTTTACAAGTTTTTGTCTCACAGTTGGCAAAAAAAAAATGTATAGAGAAGTTTGAGTCTAAAGTAACGGGAAATTGACTTTTAAAGGTTTTTAAAACTCTTTTTTTTTATTATTCTATATACACAACGCGTGAGCACATATTGAATTACCTTGAAATCTCAACGGTGAGTCGAATCGTTTTTCTAGCAAAACCGCGAACGCGTAAATTATTTTATACCCCTTTCAACGAGCACTAATGGCCTGTGCGGGGCCACGATTAATGGCAGACGGTCGACCAGACCGTTGAAATGGCTATAAGCGTCCAAAACTTTTCTACCCCTTTAGTTCTGGTCGTCATTTTAAAAAAAAAATTCTCATTTTGCAACTTTAACAAGTAAACAAAATTCATATTCAGCGAATTTTATAAAGAGAATTTATTTAATATAAAAATATTGCACAAATATTTAGAAAGTTTAGAATTTTATTTACTTACTAAAAATAAAAAAGCAAAAAAAAAAAAAAATAATAAATTATGTTTATATAAAATAAAAACTATTTTTTCGATACTTTGAAAAAAAAAATTTTCCAGTAAAAATGTGAAATTAAAAAAAAAATTTATTAAAACTTTACTACCGATAGAATGCGACCCTTATAATGTAAAGTGGAATTTTCAATATTTTAATTTCGCTTCATATGAGGGCTTGAATATTTTTCAAATATAAAAGTACTTAATCACTATGTATTTTAATGTTAAAATATTTGTTTGAAGTTTTTTTTTTTTTTTTTTAATATTTTTGAATAAAAAGTAGGAGATTAATTTTCATATAGCGGAAACAGGGAAAATTAATTTTTTTTTTGTAAATAATGTAAAAGTAATAAAAAATATAATTGAAATATGAAAAGTTTAAATTTTGTTCGAAATTAAAAAATTATCAAAAATTTTGAAATTTTGATACTAATTTATATTATATTAATTTGCATTATATTAATTTGCATTATATTAATTTGCATTATATTAATTTACATTACATTCATTTACAAATATTACTTTACATTATACTTTTATTTTCATATCATTTATTGACATTTTTGCATTGTAGTTATCTTATAATTAATTTAAAAAAATGAATTTAATTTTCAAAATAATATAACTTAAGAATATAATTCTAAAGTAACTTTCAACTTGATAATAAATTGATTTCTTTTCTTTTTTTTTTTGGGGGGGGGGGGTTGTGAATAAATTGCATTCAATTAACTTCTTTTGAAATCGCGTTCTCAAGAAAGTATTCTACTAACAATTCTGTGGATTCAGCCACGTTGAAAATGAGATTCAAAGTGGTAACTGAACATAGTAGCCATTTAAAATGGCTCAAAATCCAGCGAGAAACACTGCGGAGAAATTAATGCTGCAGTTTCTGGTTTTGCCAGAACGCCCTGCTAATTCGAACGAAGGCTTTTTGTTTATATTCCCCTGGCATTCGTATACAATGCAGTTTCACATATTGTCAACAAAAAAAGAAGAAAAAAAACACATAAACAAAAAGAAAAGAAAAAACGTGGACAGAATACAAAATAAAATTTTAAAACATGTAAAAAAAAGAAAAGCGTTTCTTTTTTCTCTTTTATTCAAAAAAAAAAAAAAGAGAGAGAGCGAGAGAGACTAGTACATATCCACTCAACGATTATGTAGAATTTTATTCTATCTAGCTGAGAAAAAAGACCATTCAAAGCTGTCGTAGTGCAATACAGAGAGAAAGAGATAGAGAGAAAGAGAAAGATAGTATCGTACGGAAAAATCTTCTCTTCCAAGTATGAATGATAATCCAGAAGAAAATCCCGTACGATGAGTTTGGTGGAAGCAGTTAAGTCCACAAGAGGAGAATATGAAAAGCATTAAGATTTTCGGGAGATGAATTTTTCATGATTCATTTTCTATTATCTGACGTGGATTCTATTAATGCATTAATTAAATTAAACGATAGCCATGGCTATCGTATTATATTAATTTAATTTAATATTTCAAATAAGTAGAAAAGAAATCAAAATTATTACCGTTTCTATACAAGAAAAAAAAAATCAAAAAAAGTTGTTTTAAGTATGTCTCAGACAGAGGCAAAAAAACCATAGTTTACAAAAATTAGAAAAAAAAATTTATTTTCAAAAAGCCAGATTGACAAAGGTATTGTTAGGAACAATTATCATCAACGAAGTACTGTTTATAGTAGTTACATTCAAAATTAAGAAATGCATTGGGAAAAAAAAATTATTTGATTCAAATAATCGGTTACTTAAGTATTAACAAATAAATATCAAATAATTTTTATTGAACCAAATAATTTTTATTTTCATGAAATAAATTTTATTTGAATCAATAATTTCTTGAATCAATACCATTTAATTAACTAAAACAATAATTATTTAATACAAATAAATATTTGTTTAACCAAAATAAATATTTAATTATTGTAAATACAAATAAATATTTATTTGATTTATTAGATTTATTTGTGTCAAGTATGCGATTATTTAAATGAAATAAATTTTTTCTTTTCATTGTGAATGTTAGTTTTGAGAATAGTTACTGAGATTTAATGTGCATTTTTAAAAGACCCTTGTGCTTTTAATTTTTTTTTTGTCTCTTATTTTGCACTCTATATAATATATATAAGCTGCTTGTGCATTTTCTTGTGAAATCTTATCTCGCGCGTTATTTTCGCAGTACTTGAATTATACTGCACACACATACACACACACACTGAGCAAGTGGAAAGCTTAGGGAATTTTAAGAGTAATGAGAATTACTATTAA